TAAGATTGGATGTGTGGGTGGTGTAATGAATAAAACGCACGGAATTGTTAATCGGAAAGCTGAGTTCCAATTCACAAATACCCTCGGCAACCCCGCGTTTCTCCTTTTCTCGTTTCAGCTCTTGGTGTAAATTTTTAGCTACCATCTCTTCCCATCGTCATCATGTCCCTTTTGCAGATGACTTTGAAGCGAAGATGATGTCGCCCTCGTACCCTCTTGCCGCTGGCCAGTTGTCCGTTTCAGAAGGACCTTTGGAATCCTCCCATTCGGCATACGGTGTATATGTCCAAGCCAGCTAGCCGACGCTGTTGAAGAAGTGCTTAGAGGCTCGGTAACTGGAGACGGGGGAGAACTATGGCTTTGGCGAGCCGCTCGGACTAATTGATGCCAATAATAATAATAATATTTGTGATTTGGAAATAGAACAATTACGTTGATTGATTGATTTGTTGTTTACGGCTTATCACCCTATTTCACGCAGAAATAGTTTTGGACTGTAAGATTAGATTTTTTGGTGATAATAATGAATTACTGATACAATTAATACTATTTAACCCATAGCGGTGGAGAATTCATACATTTTCTAAGAGTATTTGCTTGTAAGTGAATATAACGAATTCGACTGGAATTCGAACTCGGCTCTCCGATTTCCAATACCGAGCCGTTATCCATTGCACCACCCGTAAATCAAAATTTCTTTTACATCATAAAACTGCTGTTAATTATAGCTATATATTATTTAATTATATTTTTGAAATCAATTTAATTTCGTTTAGAAACTGGGATATTTATAATGAATCAGTATTTTGAAAAAGGTTCTTTTAAGTTTGTTGTTTGGTAGCATTTTTAGCAGATTGAATTAAAATTGTTCATCAGTGTTTTAAAGTGAATGTCTCTTGGAATGCTGCACATTTTTTTTTTTAGGAGATAAGAATGGATTTTGGTCGTATAGCCAATATGGAACCTGGACATAATCACTTCTTCTCTTTTAGTTTGGTGTTTCTGATGACATTCTCCTATAGTTGGTTTAATTTTGAAGAGTTTATTGATTGCACAGGAATTCAGGTTAAAACTTTACACTGGCCAAAGATCTGTGATAAAATTGTTTTCTTATTCTACAGATTTTTTGTTTTTCTTTTTTTCTTTCTTCATTTGGGGGTCAACATAACTGTTCAATATGTGTTGTAAAGTAGTTTTCACAGTGGAGGCTTGTATTTCAATAAGTCGTCCTAAATTAGGTTCGACATACAAAACGTTAGGAACTTGAAATAAGAGTTAATGACGCAGCAATCTAGTTGTGATGGTTGGTACTTCAATGTCCGACATCGACTGACTCGCTCAACACCACTGAGCCCAACTGGTGACCGCTACTACTACTACTACTTATTATGTGTGGGAGAGTCTATTAATAATAGAATAGGTACGTCCAGGTATGACAGTATTTTACTGAGTCGGTCCTAAATTAGGTTAGACGTACAAAACGTTAGGAACTTGCAATAATAGTCATATCAATCCAACCTTTATTATTATTATTTTTTAATAATAATAATAATAATCCCTTACTATAAAGGTAATTTACATTAACCAGAAAAAAGGCTTAGACAGAAGCGTCTATCTTTTTAAATTTGGATTTTTAATGTAACTATAACAACAAAAACATTTCGATTTGATTTTTGCCTTGAAAAAGTCGGAAGACGAAACGCGTCGGCAAAATGTAAGATTTTTTCCAATTGTCATTTGATACCAATCTGTCTTGTCCACAGAATTCATCTGGGAATTTTATATATATATATATATATATATATATATATATATATATATATATATATATCCTATCATATTCCTCGCCGGTAGAACGACTCGGAGTTTCATGAACAACGCAATCTGCTACCGGTGATGAATAATATATATTTTATTAATAAATACTTAATAACACTGTGACATTCCTTAGAGCATTATTTTATTAACACCCGCACTCAGTGTGTGATATCTTATATATATATATATATATATATATATATATATATATATATATATATATATATAGTATTCTCTCTGTTTGTCTATCTATCCATCTATCTTTTTATCTACTCACACGTTAAAACTGGGTATATACCACTACACACAAACACCCTATATATATATATATATACATACATACATATATATATATATATATATATATATATATATATATATATATATATATATATATGTGTGTGTGTGTGTGTGTTTTGTACAAGAATGCTGCAATGCGTACTTGTGTTTGTTTTATGTATAAAGAGTTGAGGAGAAACAAAATGGCGCATATATCATTGAAAAAGAGAATTTATAGCCATCGCGTACGACAACTGCTATTCTGGACGACCATCTTGAAATGCCAAGTTGACAGTTCTGAGACTTTTAAAGCAAAATAGTCCAAAATTCATCCCTGAAGAATGATCAGGAAAAATCAAAAGTCGTGGGTGGGAAGTTTTGGTTTTTCTGCAATTCTATCTTATCTGAAATGCCAACATTTCTTTTTTGCTTTTTTTTTTTTTTTTTTTTTTTTTTTTGCTTTCTCTTTTTTTTTGCGAGGTGGGGTAAATACTCGAGAATGCAGATGGCTCCGGGGTTGTTGGTAGTGATGGTGTCGCTGGGTTCCCTCGGTCACGTGGGCTTCAGGGAGGTCCCACTTTGGGTGGGTTGGAAATACTTCTCGCATCTGAGATAACTTCTGCGATGGAACCGGAAATATTAAGTCAATGGAAACAGACAAAAAAAAAAAAAATAATGCATACATACATATGAATATTCATGTGTGTGAGTGTGCGTATAAATGAATATATAAAAATGTATAAATATATATATATGTATAAAAATGAATTTATTTAGAAATGTTAATGTAAATATGTGTATATTAATGGATATATATTAAATAAAAGCAACAACAAGAGGAAAACTTATTTTTGCAAAACGTTTCGTGCGTTGCGGAACTTCAAGGCAAATGTTGACGATTTTTGATAAACCTGTATTTATACACATCGTTTAGAAAATATAACGTTATTGGTTCCAATTTAAATTTGAGGACATTCAAAAATATATTCGAGAGTATTTCAATGCTATTAAGAAAAGAAGCTAAAACTGGAGGAAGCTAAATTATATAATTTTGACGTGTTTCTAAACGGAAATGATTTATTATTATTATTATTATTATTTTTATTTTCTTTGATTTCTGGCGTTTACACATTTCTTTCCGGGTCCCGCCCAGGGACCTAAGGTTAGAAATGGCGTCATGACACTTTCCACTGACAAAAAAAAAAAAAAAAAAAAAAAAAATGATTACATAGATAAAGTCCTTCGTAAGGTGTGGGCTGTACTTGTCAGAACAATTTTCTGTATCTCCTTGAGGCATGGACTTCCAGGAATCCCTTCAATTAGTCTACTGGAATCTTTTCCAACCAGTCCTAGGGCTCCAACTACAACAGGGATTGTTGATGTTCCCATATGCCACATTTTCGCGATATTATTATTATTATTATTATTATTATTATTATTATTATTATTTCTAAAGCAAAGTATAGTGTTGCCGGCTAAAGGTTTTTGAAAAAATAATATTAACAGCTATACGTTTTTTTTTCAAAGAATAGTGTTGCCGGCTGTACGTTTTTTTAAAAATAATATTACCAGCTATACGTCGGCTATACGTTTTTGAAAAAATAATATTACCAGTTATACGTTTTTGAAAAAATAATATTACCAGCTATACGTTTTTTTTTTAAAGAATAGTGTTGCCGGCTGTACGTTTTTAAAAAATAATATTACCAGTTATACATTTTTTTAGAAAAAATATTAACAGAAATAGATTTTTGACATAACAAAAATATTATCGGGGAAAAAAAGGTTGTTGGCATTAAATGACCCATTGAGGTTGATATACCGTAAAACAAAACAAACCAAATCAAATCAAATCTAAATCAATGGGTTAACCATATTTGTTTTAATTTGTAAAAATGTTTTTATGGTCATACATAAATATGTTAGCTTGGCAAGAGAGCATTTCTTTCAAGAAAAGAGAAATTTAAAAAAAATCAGGGCGTATATTTATGTTTAGGTTAATTTCTATTAATGCACCTTCCAGAACTTTTCTTGTCCGTATTAAAAGATAAAATAATAGTTATTTTCTTTCTTAATAAGGACATTAGAAATGCGACTGAAATTATTTCTGTGCATAAATAAAGCATTGGATGATTTTTTATGTAGATATTCTTTGTGTTCATGTAAGTAATGCAGAAGTCTTAAGGAAAATGGAAAGAAAAAATCGCTTCTACTTAAAAAGAGATAGATGAGATTTCTAGGGCATATATGAGAAAAGAAGGTTTAGGGAATTTGACACACACAGGACATAATGAAGGCAAGATGGAGAGAAAGGAACAGCGTGTAATCTATTTAACGAACACGTTTAAATGGATGGCAGAACGGGGAGTGTCGAAAGACCAAACTCTAAGAGTTACAAAGATTAGTGAACTGTGAAGAGCGATGATCGTCCACAAAATCGCGCGACACAGCAAGAAGAAGAGGAAGTAGGAGGAGGAGAAGAAGAAGAAGGAGGAGGAGACGGAGAAGAAGAAGAAGGAGGAGGAAGATGAAGAGGAGGAAAAGAAGAAGAAGAAGAAGAAGAAGGGGAGGAGGAGGAGAAGGAGGAGGAGGAGGAAGAGGAGGAGGAAAAGAAGAAGAAGAAGAAGAATTAATTTGTATGCATATTAAATATTCTATTTTTAAACGCAGTCTTTTGTGTTAAACGATTATTTATTTATTTTTGTAATAATAGATTCGAGTTCAAAGTTCATTTGTTTTATTTATGCTGAAATTCTTTTGATATTCGTTATCAAAAACTAAATGTGGTTATTATTTAATTAATACTCGTTGTTTCTTTTATGTAATAATAGATTTGATTAATTTGTGCCTGTGCTACTTATATTTGTTTCGATAAGTGACAAGTTAACCTACGAGAATGTGTATTACTTTTGTGACCATTATACTATATGATATTTTGGTATGAGTTATTTTCATTTTAATTTTTTCATTTTAATTTTTTTATTTCACTTCTTATATGATGATAGCTCAGTCAGTTACGTGCCATGACTGACGAGGCAGTAGGTTGCCATTTCATCCAAGGCTATATAACCCGGTCTGTCTTGCTATATACCAAGAAGAGGATTCACACCTTTCCCAAGGGTATTAGCACGTAAGTGAATGTAATGGATTCGACTGGAATTCGATCTCGGCTCTCCGATTCCTCAGTCCGAGCCGCTATCCATTACTCCACCGTTGTCATATTTTGTCATATTAATAGGTGATATGATGCCCGAATTTCACCAAGTTTCGATAAGAGACTTGTTAATTTACGAGAGTTTACTTTTATGATCAATGAGAGAAATATTAATACCTCATACCAAAATATTTTGGTATGAGGCATTAATATTTGTCTAATGTTAACTTTTGTATTTCATTTGTTTGTTGCATGATGACAAGTTAAGCTATGATAGCCTGGTGTAATTTTGTGATTACTGTAAGACAGAAAGAAAAGAACAATCTTAGGTAATCAACCAGACAGCCAGATGGGCGGCTTATCATGGTAGACTTGTAGTTCATTGGTAGTGAGTTAAATCCTCACTTGGACACCCTGTGCCAAAATAAGGCTATTTTTTTACTAAACAACAAGAAGCAGACAGATGAATAACAATGTGTAACTGTCTGACACGCCGGCATATTAATTACGTCTAGATTCTCACTCAATGCAAAATCTGTGAATTCCTTTCAATCGCTTTTAGTCTTGCCAGCCGGTGTCAGACGACAAAATGAGCACATAGAAAAATCCTCCGTTTGCTGACATGACACCAGATACCGTCATTTGGTGAAACGTGACGCGCTCCCGGACAAATTGAACAACGACCAAGCCCTTAAAGATTTAATTTTAGAAGTAATTCGAACTCTGTAATAACACCCAGCAGTTAACGAGGGCCACGGAAAAAAGCGTTTAAAAGCAATAGCTATCGCTTGGCCCGCATGGGTCTCAATGCGCATGCGTGTTTATTTTACTTGAAGCGCACTTTCAGATTCATTGATGCATTAGGTTTTTTTTTTTTTTTTTTTTTTTTTTTTTTTTTTTTTTTTTTTTGTCTGTGATTGGGAGTGGATCTCTACTTGCGAAAAAGTTGATGATTGAAGGACTACTTTCGTTTTTCTGTTGAGGTGAAGGAGGAGGAGAAGAAGAAGAAGAAGAAGAAGGATGAGGATGAGAAACAAATCGAATGAATGAAAGCGTAGTATAAGAAAAAAGAAAAGAAAAAGATGATGAAGAATAAAAAAAGATGGACGAGAAAAAGAAGATAAAATAGGATAGGGTAAAAGAGAAGAAAATAAAGAAGGAAACGATATTAAAGAAAAGGAAGAACAGTAAAAAAGAGACGAAAGCGTAGAGAGAGAGAGAGAGAAGAAAAAGAAAGAAAAGATATAGTTTCAAAAAGAAGATGAAAACGAAAAAGATGTAAGAAAAGGAGAAAAATGGAGGCGGAAATGGTAATAAAGAAGTGAACGGACAATGAAAAGAAGAGGAGAATGAGTAGAGATAGAAGAAAAAGAAAGAAAATATGGTGATTTTATTTGTTATCATTTCACCCCAAGCAAGGCGGGAATGTCGCTAGTACGCAGAGGGTTACAGAGAGTAAAAATGAGAGAAAAGACTGTGTATAGGGGCGGATTCAGGAAAGGATAAAAGACAAACAGGTTTGAAGACGACAGAAGATGGCGATTTGGGATGAAAGATAATGGAGAAAAAATGTTAATAAAGAAGAAGGACAACGTAAAGAAGAGAAGAATGAAAAGATAGAGAATAAAAAAGAATAAGAAAGAAAAGATGACGCTGAAAAGAAGACTAGGGAGAAAACGAAGATGAAAGAGAAAGAGAAGAGAAAGAAAGAAAATACAATGAAGAAGAGGAACAGCAATAAGAATAAGATACGAAAGTAAGGAAAGAGATAAAATAAAGAAAGAAAATATTTAAAAAAAATAAAGAGGAAGAAAAAGAAGGCAGCAAAAATGAAGCATAAAGAAAGTGATGGATAGTCAGGTTACTATTAGGTTGGTGCAAAAATAATGACGTAATAATGTCGTTTTTGACGTTAAAAAATACGTCAAAAAACGACATTATTACGTCATTATTTTTGCACCAACCTAATACTTTACGCCTACTACAATTGATAACGTTGTCCTCCTACCACCTTACTATTACGAAGTCAAGTATATCCAAATAAAGAACTAAACGTGTTCTATTGCATATTGTTCGTTAGACATAAATACAAGATAAAGATAACCGATGAAATTTTGAGATTCAACACTGTGTTTAAATCATCATTGAGAATAAGTGAAAAAAAAGCAAAAAAAAAAAATAAATAAAAAAAATAAGAGCGATTCAAAATATCGAATATAAAAAAAAACTACTAAGAAATAGGTACAGGAAAGATTACTGTGTGACATCCATCCTCTTATATGGCTCCGATGCTAATCATTCTACTCCCAAATGACGAGAAAACATTGGGCAAAACGGGGTTCTACAGAAGGATACTGAGAATTCCAAAGCGAGTAAACAACGAGAAAGTCTTAGAGAAAATGTCAAGAAAAAAAAGCATTTATGCTGAGAATTAGGGAGAGATAAATTGAAAGTTGAAATTCCTTGATGATGAAAAGAAGAAGAAGAAGAGGAGGAGGAGGAGAAAGGAGATGAAGAGAAGAAGAAGAAGTGGAGGAGGAGATTAAGATGAAGAGGAAGAGGAAGAGGAAGAAGATGACGAGGAGGAGAAAAAAGTGGATGAGAAGAAGAAGAAGGAGGAGGAGGAGGAGAGGGGGGAGATGATGATGAGAAGAAGCAAAAGAAGAAGAGGAGGAGGAGATGAAGAGGAAGAGGAAGAGAAGAAGAAGACGAGAAGAAGAAGAAGAAGGAGGAGGAGGGGAGGAGATGAAGAGAAGAAGAAGAAAGGAAGAGGAGGAGGAGAATAAGATGACGAGGAAGAGGAGGAGGAAGAGGAGAAGAAGATGACGAGGAGAAGAAGAAGAAGAAGAAGAAGAAGAAAAAGAAGAAGAAGAAGAAGAAGAAGAAGAAGAAAAAGAAGTTATAATTTACGGGTCATAGTTAACTCTTCACAGGACTAGATTTTCTATTAGTGTCGGCTCCATTGAAATAAATAAAAGGCTTACGAGCACATCACATTGAAACACCTGTTCCTGTACGATAAGCGAAGTTAAGCAACGTCGAGCCGGGTCAGTAGCTTGATGGCTGAACTCTTAGGAATACCAGGTGCTGTAAGCTTGGATGTGCGGGTGGTGTAATGGCACAGAATTTTTTATTGGAAAGCCGAGTTCCAATTCCGGTTGGGTTTGCTATATTCACGTATGCTCAAATCTTGGGAAAGGCATGAATCCACCTCTTCTCCCACTAGCTAATGATTAATTAGTAATACTTGTATCACTGAATCATTATTATCTCCCAAGTCACAAAAAATTATTGAAATATTTTCTGGCTTTAAATAACCTGTAATGAGTTGATAGGCCGTAGAAAAACGAATCAATCAATTGAAGTAAGTAGCTTTGATCAGTCGAAACGTTGATAGGTTTCACCAGTCAAAAAGCCGTACTGTATCAAACTAGTTTTATAAGCAAGCTCGTTTTATAAGCCGTAGAAAACGAATCAATTAATATCTATCTATCTATCTATCTATCTATCTATCTATCTATCTATCTAATACTGTTCTTTCTCTCTCCCTCTATCTCACCCCCTCTCTCTCTCTGTCTATCTATCTCAGTCTGTTCATATCTATCTATCTATCTATCTATCTATCTATCTATGCATGCTTACGGTCAACACACGATTATCAAAGTTAAGTTGCGTCAGTATCTAGATGGGTGACTACTTGGGAATACCATATGCTGTAATCTTGGATAACGGCACAGAATTGTTAATCGGAAAACAAATTAATCAATTGAAGTAAATAACATTGATCAATCGAAAGGTTGATAGGATCCCCTAGTTAAAAAGCCGTACCGTAACTGGGTGGCAAGCAATCTAGTTTTCCAAACAAGCTATTTCTCGGCGAGTCATTTAAGCAACACTCGGCCCACATTTCGTTGACCTTTTCGATATTCTGACCCTCTACCCCCTGACTGCATCTGCTGGTTGGTAATTTATGAGTCAGAATGATGTCATAGTGTGTTGATGGTCCTTAAACCCCTGTTACCTGTGGGGAATACATAGCAGCCATCGCGACGGTGGTTTGTTCGACAGAGTCCATCAGTAGCGGTCGGTGTCGAGTTACTCGTCCCGTGACTCTGGGGCCCGGGCAGCGACCATAAAGCTGAAGGCTGTGCGTGGGTTGTCAAACCAGGATAGTGAAGCGGACATTATTCATTATTCTAATCACTGATATGCCGTACGAGATACTTTTTATACGTGACATTGTTGCTGTCGAAACGAGGTAGAGTCCAGCTACGATAGTGGGTTTCCGAACAAAGAAAAAAAAAAAAAAAAAGAAAAAAAAGAGAGGTAGAGAAGAAGGGAGAAAAATGATAAAGATGAGAGTAATTAAAAGAGAGTAATCCGAATAATATATATATATATATATATATATATATATATATATATATAGAGAGAGAGAGAGAGAGAAGAATGTGGGGGTAGAGAATATGATAATGTGATGAAAAAACTTGAGGATAGACTGATTAATGTAGAGAGTGGGAGTGAGTGAGAGAAATGACTAGGGAGAATGAGAGAGAGAGAGAGAGATAGAGAGAGAGAGACATACATACACACATACACATAGGCATACAAAAACAGACAGACACAGACACACAGACAAATAAAGCCATAATAGAGGAAGAGAGAAATATAGAAAAGAGAAGAAAGCGCGCGAGAAAGATTAAGAGGGTAGTTATGAATAGGAGAGAAAAAAAAAGAGAGGGAGATGGAAACAGGAATTAAAAGAGAAATTAAAAGAAGAATGAGAAATATCAAGGGAACGCAAGAGAGGAAGAGAGATAGATAGAATGAGAGGCAAAGAGATGAGGATAGAGTAATTGATGTAGAGAGTGGGAAGGAGTGAGAGAAATGACTAAAAATATTAAAAGCGCAAGAGATAGATAGATAGATAGATAGATAGATAGGGACAGACTAAGATGGATAGAGTGATATGAATAAACCGAGATAGATAGATAGATAGATAGATATGAACGGACAGAGATAGATAGATGGATAGCTAGATAGATAAATAGATAGATAAGAACATATATAGAAAGATAGAGAGATAGGGACGGACTAACATGGATAGAATGATATGAATAAACTGATAGATAGATAGATAGATAGATAGATAGGGACAGACTAAGATGGATAGAGTGATATGAATAAACCGAGATAGATAGATAGATAGATATGAACGGACAGAGATAGATAGATGGATAGCTAGATAGATAAATAGATAGATAAGAACATATATAGAAAGATAGAGAGATAGGGACGGACTAACATGGATAGAATGATATGAATAAACTGATAGATAGATAGATAGATAGATAGATAGATAGATAGATAGATAGATAGATAGAAAGTAAGAAATACACTGAGATAGAGCGAATCAAATTGAGATAGATAGATAGATAGATAGATAGATAGATAGATATGAACGGACAGAGATAGATAGATGGATAGCTAGATAGATAAATAGATAGATAAGAACATATATAGAAAGATAGAGAGATAGGGACGGACTAACATGGATAGAATGATATGAATAAACTGATAGATAGATAGATAGATAGAAAGTAAGAAATACACTGAGATAGAGCGAATCAAATTGAGATAGATAGATGGGTAGATAGATAAATCGATAAAAGAGGAAGAGAGAAAAGAAGAGAAAGCAAGCGAGAAAGATTAAGATTGAAGGAAAGAATAAAAGAGAGAAAAAAGAGAAAGATAAAGACAAAAAGAGAGTAACTGCGAGAGATGGAATAATAGAAACAACAATAAATAAAAGGGAGAGTGAGAAATATTAAGGGAGCGAAAGAGAGAGAGAGAGAGAATGAGTATATATATATATATATATATATATATATAGAGAGAGAGAGAGATAACGAGATAGAGAAATAAAATCATAAGAGAGAGTACGATGTCTGGCGAGGAGGATTGAGAGAAGCAAAGAAGGAGAAAGGGGGAAAGATAGATAGTGATTAAGAGAGAAGAATAGTCAGAGAATGAGGAATAGAAAAAAAGAGAAACTAAAAGGAAGAGTGAGAAACATTAGCAAAAGACAATGACAATGTCTGATCATGAGCCGTTCTAAATTTTGTATATTAACATTAATTTCGGGTGAAAATAGAGGCAAAAATTGTCCAAAATTTGGATATTTTTTCATTATGCCGGTCCATTATCTAAGATTATTATTATTATTATTATTATTATTATTATTATTATTATTATACATTGTCTGTTATATTTAACAATATATGCTTAAATAAAGATCTGCTGCTCCAGTACACTAAATACACACTTTGGTGCACTCTTCCAAATATAACGTTTAGAGTAAACAGAAATGATATCGAATTAAAAGCAATCTATTAATTGCTCAAACATAACTTTACGTTTCAAATGCTAAAATAAAGTTAGTAATCATAGACTTTATATATATATATATATATATATATATATATATATATACAAATATAGGTAACTATACTCGTTTCGAAAAACCTTTGAATTTTTGATTTGCCAATAATCAAATCAATCTCGAGGGAAAAAAAAGGTTTTAAAAAAAGAAACAGCTAGAATCATGAAAGTCTGTCGAAAAAAATCGCACAGATACAGGTTTAAAGCCCAAAGAAAAAAACCCGACATGAGTAAACAACTAACTAACAAAAGAGCTCAATACAACCGTATATATATATATATATATATATATATATATATATATACTCTAAAAAGTACAAATTTTGAAAAAGAATCACGATCACGAGTCTCGTAACTCATTACGGTCTAAGGGTGTTACATATACACCAGACGCAGTCGCAAAAGTGTATCCTGGATAAGGTAGCCAAACCCATTTGTTGTTACTAATATTGATTTTCGGTTGCGGTGACTTTAAACTTAAACTGCTTCAATTAAACACCGAAAAATCCCAGTAACGAAACACCTGGTCGAAGACGGGTTATACTACTGCTGGTGTATGTGTATATATATATATATATATATATGCTCCTGAAAATTTTATTTCGGTTGAGCTCTCTCGGGAGGAAGTGTGGGTTTGTAAACAGTGACTATTATGGCTAATAATGCTAGACTATTCGCTAAATCGAATCGAGTTCTCCCAGTCACTCTGTGTTTATCTAAAAATAAATACGCTTAAATTCACCTTCATTCCTGCCGTGTGCTAACGACTTAGTGGTAGAATCCCCCCGACACGCCAATTCAGTCGAGTTTCGATCCTAGCTAGAGGCAACCGGACGTTTAGCCACAGTGTGAGCAGCGAAACAATCTGTCTGTGGATGACAATATATATATGCGTGTATGTGTGTTTTCGTATGGCAAAGTCCATTTCTTCAATTTTGGATTGAGTGCCTATGGGCGCGCAAGGAATTCAAAACGCCCGCTTCACTTCTGCAGGCTTCCTTGCATATAAGGCAGACCAAAAGCATCGTATATCGTCTATCTGGTCTTTATGCACTCTGCTGTCGCACTTCAGACCTGCTGCTGATCCACATACAGGGCTGGATTAGTCATTGAGTAAAATAGCCACCGCAGAAATTGTCATTATAAGATCTTGTTGTACACGTGTAAAGAAATAAGTCGAACACGATTAACATTCGAAGCTACCGGGCGCCATTACGAACGGTGAGACGACTAACCCGCGCCGAATCTTTATTGCGATTCTGATTGGTTAAAAAAGAAATGGGCTAAGGAAGATAATGAGGTTTGTATTTGCTCAATGCATCACATCTCTTCTCTTAAATAAGTTAATATTACTCATTAACTTTATGAGTTTTAATTTTTGTGAACAATCAGAGGGGTTGACTATTCCCATGTTTGTTTGCCATTATTCTGGCCATGTGCTTATGCGATTCTGTGTTGCTTTGTTGATGAGACGACCATTTTTGGTCACAGTTCTGTTAGTATCTGGTCATGGCTCATTTGATAGTGGCTGCTCGGGTGGGATGGATTTTTTTTGTATGGGCTTCCAGAGCATTGTTGCTGTTCTAGGCCGGGACTGATGATTAGCCTCTCGGAGGTTGTATGTGCCTTCGGTTTCTTTATTTATTTCCAGCTGGTATTACACTCATTGAGACTCCATGATATCATACTTAACTCCCAGATGTATGGCGGCATCAAAACCTTTTAAGTACGTAGGGCGCCAAAATCCTTTACGTGCTTAGGGTCCCGCATACTTTGTCACAGGATCGACATAAATTTCCTGTAGGTCGTTGTAGATGGCTAGCAATGTGGTCTACTTAGGATTGCTTACAGTTATGAGACCTTAGATGAAGTTTCGCTTCGGATAAGAAGACCCTCACACAGATGTTAGATGCGTGCTCAGGCTTCAGATGATCTGGGATTAAGGTCATGTCCCGCTTGCTCAGAACCGGTTTGAAGATTGCATTACCCACCGTTTTCTTACAACCGTCGTTCACCATCTTCTTGCCCGCAGATCGATTTTCTGTCAGCCACTCCCAGTCATAAGCATCAATATAAGAGGTTTTAACAACATCCTTAAAGCGTTTTTTTTTTGGTTTGTGTTTCTGACGTTTACTACGTGGTGTTAAGTTTACACGTCGCCATTCCTCCGTCAACGCTGGTTTTTTTTATAACAATTCTCCATGATTGTACTGTACATTTGGGCACGTGGCCAAGTGGTTAGAATGTTCGCGTTCTGACCATGAGACCAGGGTTCGAATCTCGCCATAGTCGATTTGTCAGGAAGGAGACTTCCTGATGTTATCGAACTGAAAATCCATACGTGTTTGTTTGGTTAAATAATTTAGACGAACTTAGTCCATACTGGGGTTGAATAAGATTAAGGAATTTTATATAATGAATAAGACTGATGAATTTATATATATATATATATATATGAATTTATATATATATATATATATATATATATATATATGAAATTCGTCAGTCTTATTCTAATATGTATATATATATATATATATATATATATATATTAGAATTAGGCCGCAAGAAGTATTTAAAATCTGTTACACCATGTGAAACATTTCATGAATCTTGCACTAAAAATACGTACACATTGAGACAAACCGCTCCCATTCTCTTTATATTGCATTAGTGAGGAGTAAGTGTCACTCGGATAGAATTCCAGGAGGATGTTTTCCTGGTTACTACAATTTTAACCATTATCTTCCCCACATATCCACATACAAAGTTATCAAAATATGTAAACCATTTACAATGTAATATGTATTATTTATTATTTTATAAATAACTGAAAAGAAGTTTTTTATTTATAATTTTATATCAGTCAGTCAGTTATGTGCCATGAATAATACACGCTTAGGCGACCATGTATCTTACGATACATGACTGACGAGGCTGATTTTTCCCCACATTAGGTTGCCATTTCTTTCTTAGATCAGTTGCCATCCTAAGCTATAGAATCCGGTCTGTCCTGCTATTTATCCATAGCTGGAGGGAGAAGAAGAGGTTTTCAACTTTCCCCAAGGGTATTAGAACATAAGTGAATGTAATGGATTCGACTGGAATTCGAACTCGGCTCTCCGATTCCTCAATCCGAGCCGCTAATGAATTATAAAATAAAATTTGAATAAATATATGATTTTCTGGACATAATACATTTTCTTCTAAGATTATTTTATACCCTAGATTACTATATGTTTTAATTTTAATTTTAATCATTGCTTTTTAAAACAAGAAATATTTCCGAGGGAATGAAGGTAGGTAAAAATGTCAATTAGTCGATGATTTAAAACTCTTTGTATTGCAGATGGTTTACATATTTTGATAATTTTATAATTTAAAAAAAATTGAATAAAATATTTTTTTCATATGTATTTCATTATAAAAGGTAAATAACTTTTTAGAATCTTGTAAATAAACATGACGGAGGGAGTGGACGTAGTTAACATAACAGCGGTGTCTATGAAAAAAAACCGACCTTTTGATACTCCGTGTTTGTTTTTGCAGACACGAATATGTGTGTGCGTGTTCGAAAAACAATTCGATTTGTAAATTGTTTGAATGAAAATTAATCGAAAGGACAACTAGACTAATTGATAATTATTCGAAATATCTATGTTTGAAATACGTTTGAAATACGTATATGGTCTTGCTTTGAGAGAGTCTATGCTGATTTACCTAGAATTAATAACGGCTCTGAAGGATGGCATATGATTTTTTTTTGCAGCAAGTATCATCCCATCATCTGTTAACCTCTCTCTTTTAATCGTCTAAGAAAAGCCTTGCTGTCTTCCATTAGAATGGCTGATGCTAACCCCCAGGTGATTGTTAGGTAAACGTTTTCCATTGATATGAACTGGAAAGACTATATTGAATCAATTGCTAAATCTGTGAGGAAAGTTGGTTCACTGTCGTTGTAGACAATTTTCGCGCCAGAATTTATCTTATACGTTTATAAGTCTACCTTCCTACATGTACTGAATATTGCTGCCACATCTGGTTTGGTTCACCTTCTACATATTTAAAGATTCTTGATAAAATTTGCCATATTATTGATCCTGGTGCATTGGCTTCAATCAGTTTCTCATGGCTGTAATGTAGCTTCCCTGTGCCTTTTCTATAAATATTTTCATTGTAATTTTTCTGATGAGCTTTCCTGCCTTTGGTACGTACATTTTATGAAATCAAGTCCAGTACTAGATTGGCTGCTAGGTCGTATCGATTATGCGAACATTGTTCGAAAATAATTATTCGAAAAACATTTATTCGAATTGTAAATTGTTTGAATGAAAATTGATGGAAAGGACAATTATACTAAATGGTAATTATTGGAAGTGCAAAAATGTAAAATTAAAAGAGGGAATATACAAATGATAATTATTAGAAATACAAATATCGGTAATAAAACAATTTGGTAAGAAAAAAATCCTTATAACCTTAAGGTATATGATACTGTATGCAAATAGTCAACTACTGAAGAGTACTCTTTAAAGAATGCTACAAATATTTTAAGTTTTCCATCTACGTCGCAGTATTTCTTGGCGTTCTTGATATTGATTTTCTAATCCCGCCTTAGATGGGGCACCCAAAGAGGATCGAACTCACTACTCAATCGTAATTGATCTAGCAAGACAAACTTTCTAACCATTACACCAAGTCGAGGTGCCCAAGCGCTCTTCATATTTCGGCAACCTGCTCTTAGTTTTGCAATATGACTCTTGCAAGTCCTGTTTTCTTTTAAGAGCATCTAATAATTTCCATATTATGAGATGATGGGATGACACTTGATATTAATGTTATTATATATATATATATATATATATATTGTTGTGGTAGGATCCACCTAATTTGCATAGTGGAGTACCGACCATATAAATATGGTTGGTACCGGGAAGAGAGGGAGGAATCAAGAGATTCAACCAGAGACTCTGCCCGACTGCGACTCAGTCAACACATTCTCCAGGAACGGTCTTACCATGAATATACAAAAGACTATATGTAAATATTGTGTACATTTTCGTGTTTCAATACATTTTGTTCTAAGTACATTTTGTGTTGCATTATTATTCCATGCATTAGTCAAATTTCAACATATATTAAAGGTAATAACTCCGCTGGTATATGATCCAAGCGGATCCTAGTAATATCAAATATTAAAACTGATCCACAAAAACATCTCAAAGTATTTCTTATAACTGAGCATGTAAATTACATAACAGGATAATCCAAAATTACCTCATGTGTATAGACTATTTCAAGTACCGTCAATGCGTCAGCTTTATTCAACTCAAATGCTGAAATTTTATTCAATGTCGAAACTACAGATTTAAAATTTAATATTAAAAATAAAAACTGCAGTTGCAAAATTGATACAGAGTCAACCAATAACACAGCAGACAAAACAAAAACATTCGAAAAACATTTATTCCAATTGTAAATTGTTTGAATCAAAATTAATCGAAAGGACAATTATATTAAATGATAATTATTAGAAGGGCAAAATTCTTTATTGCAATAAAAATTTAAAACTTAAAAGAGGGAATACACAAATGATAATTCTTCGAAATACAAATATCGTTAATAAAACTATTTAGTAAGATAAAATCCTTATAACCTTAAGTTATTTTTTTTTATAATCTTGTAAATAAACATGACTGAAGGAGCGGACGTAGTTAAAATAAGAGCGGTATCTATGGAAAAACTGTCCCTTTTAAACATCGTTTTTTGGCGAGCACGAAGATCCATGTTTGCCGAAAAAAAGTCTTTGATGAAGAAAGACGGAATGTGTTCACGCAACATCCAGATGGGAGGAAAAGTATTTCACCAATTCCAATGCCATCCGAACTCGCATCATTCTCTCTTGTCACCGAACATCTTCAGATCTGTCTCCCCACCATGACAGTTTCCCTGGAAATCATTTTCATTCTTACCCATGTTCCCCGCCCTCGACGATTCATTTTTTGACAACAGTGCCACCTGTTTTCAGCCACCTCCTTACAGACATGATACCATAAATATATAACTGTGTATGTGTGTGGCATACTTATATATATATATATATATATATATATATATATATATATATATATATATATATATATATATATATATATATATGAGGGAATTGGCAACAATATATTGTTACGAGAGAGCGAGAGAGAAAAGAGAAACAGAGATGGTGGATGATCTGAAACGCTTGCAAATTCACAAGATCTCGCGAGATATTTAATAGTTGTCAAACCGTTCATGACACGCACATACGATAGTCACGCGTGAATACCGTAGAGTGCTAGACGCATTGTCATCCGGTCTTGGAAACGTAGCTTCCTCATTTCTTGCCCCCCCCCCGCTTTTTTTAACTCATTTTTCTTTCTTTTCTTTTTTCTTTTTTTCTTTTCTTTTACTTTTCTGGTGTTTCTTCATCTGAAATATTTGATCTTTTCTTTCTTTCTTTCTTTCTTTCTTTCTTTCTTTCTTTCTTTTCTTTTTCTGTTTTCTTTTACTTTCTGGTGTTTCCTTCATTTGATATAATTGATCTTTTCTTTCTTTCTTTCTTTCTTTCTTTCTTTTACTTTACTGACATATTTTCACTTTTCTTTATTTTTCCTTTTCTTTCTTTCTCTTTTACTTTTCTTGTGTTTCTTTCATCTGACATATTTGTTCTTTGTTTTTTCTTTTCTTTCACTTTTTGTGTTTCCTTCATCTGACATATTTGCTCTTTTCTTTCTTTCTTTCTTTCTTTCTTTCTTTCTTTCTTTTACTTTTCTGGTGTGTCCTTCATCCGACATATTTGCTTTCTTTCTTTCTTTCTTTCTTTCTTTCTTTCTTTCTTTCTTTTACTTTTGTTTCCTGTGCCTTTTCAATCCATTCTCATTTTGTATTGTGTGGCGGCAATCCCACTACGATACCAGGTTTTGCTGACAGTGAAAGAGAATGTGTAGACGTCAGGTGAGAAGAAACGGAGAAGACATTATTA